GAACCAGCAAAATTACTGGGGAGAAGAATAATTTCGCTGGTGGGAGTGTTACTTTACAGTCACGGCGAGATAGGTGTTGCAAGTGGGGACGCACGCAAAACTCGCATCAGGACCCAACTCTTCCGATATGACAGCAGAGCTGCGCGTGCACGATTGCTCCTTTCAAGTCAACTGGTGCTATGATGGAGCGATTGAGACGTAACGCCCCACACCCGAAAGTGCCCCTTAGAGAAATGTAGCGCCCTCTTCCACCTCTGGGAATGAAATATTCACTATTAGCACGACTTAGTAAAACCTTAGACAGTAGTGAGCGACATAGAAGGCACTTCCTCTCAGCAGAACTGGTAGCGGTTTCACTCGTTTGTATGGTTGGCGCACTACGCTCATCTACCAGTTTTCAGAAAATTTTTAATTACCCTGTGTACTTTAGTATTCGTAAGTAATACCATCGTTTAACATAGGGACGAAGCCGATCGGAAGGATAGTCCGGCAAAAGGCCGGTAGCAACCTTAAGGGCAGTGGGCACGATGGCTGGGGCGGGCGGCTGCTGCCAACGTCATTGGTGGGAAGGCCGCGAGAGAATGTTCTGGACATATTCCATCCATCCCTTCCACCAATGACGTCGCCAGCGACCGCCCGCCCCAGCCATCATGCCAACTGCCTTTAAAGGCAAATACACTCACCTCCACGGATTCTGGTCCCTGCTATGTGTGACTAATTTCCAGCCACCTCCACAAGCCATCTTCTGCAGCGTGCCGCCACCCTGTGAGCAACCTAGACGCGATCCACGGGCAAGTCTGATGCAGTGCGAACAGTGGGCGGCTCGACAATTTGACCAGGTTGGCTCGTCTAAACTCTCGCGGACTCCATCTTGCCTCTTTTGAATATCTTCAATTCATATTTGTAGGCAGTTCTACCATCTCTTTTTGCCGCTCCATTTCAACATGCTTCTAAAACGATGGTGGACCCGATGAAACAAAACCATGCCAAAATCCTGAGAATGGCTGGTAATTTTGACCCAATTCTTACCACAGTAGATAAAGTGACCAGCCAACCATTCTGTAGGTCCTAAGACGAAATTCAGGGATTGACGCCAAAACGAAGCGGGGTCTGTCGCCGAATGGTATGGCGATCTATCAGGAAGTGACTGCGAACATGGACAAATATGACCGGCCGCCACAAAAGAAAGATAAAATCAGGGAAAAGCTAACGAAGCAAGAAGATAAAGGAAGCAAGAAGTCGGCGGCTCAACCGAAAGTAAATCATTTTTTAGCAGGATCTCGGTTTCAAGAAATATTTGAGGTAAATTAAAGGACCACCCGCGTGAACCATATACGAATGTGCCCAAGGATGAATTCTGTATGGTCGCCGATAGAACGATTGAAATCGACAAGAATGACCTGGTGAGAAACTTGCATTTCGTCATTTTATTTTTCTTTTTTTCTCTAGGCGTTTTTCCCTTTTCTGACCTCTTCTTCCCTTTTCTGACCCCTTTTCTCTAGCTTTCACATCAGAATTAATGGCACCACTGCGAGCGGAGTCGGGAAACTGCACTAGGGCATCATAACCCTCCGACACCATTTCGAGCTTTTGAGCGTAGAAAAGGCACTGTACTGCACCTGCAGACCCCTCCACCTCACACATGAGAAGGGCCGTCCCTAGAGGGGACTGCACAGTTTTTTTTTACCGTTGTTGCTAACTATTCAAATTCTTAGTGATGCATAGTAGTTCTAAAGGTGAACTCATTCCAGATTGTCAATCGTCTCCGTACACTCGGAAAAGGAGCATTCGGTGCTGTTTACGCTGGAGAATATAGAGTAAATTATCAAATTCTCAATGATCAACGTT